CTACCTTACATTAGTAGCGAATATTTCAAATGCTCAAAGGAGATATTTATAACACAGAAACTACATGGTCCCTGACCTCGAGGATCTTCCAACAATGCTTTTGAAGTCATCAAGTTCTTGTTCTTGCTTCAAGTATCTTAGACATGTGTCTAATATATAATAATGTCTTTGAGGGCTGTGTCTGAATTACTTGGTATTTTGTTTACCATTGCTATGTATACATACAGATACTATTAAGCGGCACTGAATTCAGTTTTGAAATGAAAGAGAGCTTTATGATCAGTTAGTAACTTGCTTTACCCTCAGTTTACTAAACAGTGCCATCCCAGAAACATCCTGCTGTAACAGTAATCCCAACACTTCAAAAACCAAGAGGCTGCCATTGAGTTGAAAATGTTTCTGGGCTTTATTTAGGACAATGTTATTCCTTTGAAACTTTTTGCAGGGAAGTACAATAGTTTATGAAATATGATCACCTGTCCTTCACTGGACTTCTTGCATTCCCTAGGCTATGCTAATTTCTGCCAGCCAAATTTCAGAAAGATAGAGTGATATGTGTTTGAAGTATAATGTTTGAACATGGTTCTTTTTTACATGCAGAGATGGCATAGGCCAAATAAAGTTTCTTGACATATAACTATAACCAATAAAAAGCTTTCTAAGACAAGAGAATTGGTATTGCTCCCCCCCCACACCAGAATTATGCTAGCATTTCACTATCTTGAACAATACATCAAAGAGAAGGAGATTCACAGTGTTTCTTAAGAGATCTATGCCAGTATTTCATAGTCCATAGACCATCATCATCCTCAAAATGTTTTTTCTCCTCCTTTTTGTTCATTATGGAAATTATGGGCACCAAACCAAATTGTTCTACTGACACTCCTAGACTAAGTAGCCTAAAACAATGTGAAATCTGTTTGCCCCATCTTCCATGTCCAACCAAACCCATGGTATTGTGCAAGATCTCTAAAATTCTGTAAGATCTGCCAAGGTCTATAATATCCTTTGTGTTTTTGACAAGACATTTTGTTTAAGGTAGCTTTACAAAGAACCACTTGTAGGACCATTCTTGCTGGTCTGGGGTAGTCTGGGAGAGATAGCGTAAGCCAGGGAGCATTTTGATTATTTAAAAAGTCGTAACATAAACTTTTGGAATTTCTTTTCCTTAATAAAATGAATCTGTTTTTTGAGCAGAAGAGGAGTTACCAGATCCTGATGGAGTCTGCACTAATATGCCTCTGTGTGTATCTGTGTGTGTGTATGTGTGTGTGTGTGTGTGTGTGTGTGTGTGTCAACGACCAATAGACAAAAAATGTGGAACACATAAGAGGTTTTCAAAGTGAACTTTGAAGTAAACAAATTGGGTTGTAATGAATTGTAAAGACAATCCTTTTGAAATGACTTGCAGTAGGCAGGAATTGTAAGAAGCTGTTCCTTGCTATTAAAAAAAAAATTATGATGACTTGAGCAGAGCCAAATAAACCAATGTTAATAAAAGCAGAGTAAACAAATCAACATCCTCACCATAAATGATGTTCCAAATGTACCAGAGAACCATTCATAACACAGAATTCTCATGGTTTTTGACCTTGAAGAAATTTGGACAATGTTTTTGAAGTCATGCAATTGTTATGCTCACTTCAAATATCTTAGGAGTATCAAATCATTCTCATTAATGTTCTTGGTAGTTTAAAAAAAGAGTAAGCAACATTCACCACGATACCTGGAAGCATAGATACTGTCTCAAAATGAGAGTCATTTTACTTTCAACTACTCTTACACTCACTGAAATTTATTACTGTACTTGGCCAATTAATGAAGCCTACTTAGGTTACTGCGGCATCTATACTAGCACTACCCAGGATTCTCCATAATGTTGCAATAAATTCAGGCTTGAAATCATGGAAAGAATCAAAATCATTTTTAAAGGGCAGAAAAATTGATTTGAAATACTAGCCTATAAACAGCCATAGACACATGAAATTGAATTCTTCACTGTACCTCATAAACCTTCTACATCAAGAGGCCACTTTTCAAGTTCTGGCATATTTATCATACTGACTATCCAGACAGTTCCAAAGCTCATTCTAAAGAGATCACATAAATAAAATTAACCTTATTTCAGCCTTAGAACACTGGCACAATAATTTGCTTCTGGGTCAAAACTCTACATGCATGCTTGAGTTTTTCCCCTAAATAAGTTTCCTTGAAGAATATTCCCTAAATTGGCTCTCAGCAAGTTTTAAGCCTCCTCCCTAAAAGGACAAAGGCTTCAGAAAAACTTCAATGAATCTCTCTGGCTAGACTATTATATTTTTAGAGTTACACTATAACTAAAAAATGATAAATATAGCTACTCATAATAGAAACAGACAACCTTTAGACCTGGTATATTAATCAGTGGTTAAATGCAAACTGAGCACAGAATTACCATCATGGACTCCTTGCTGATTTGATGTTACCTCATAGGAGTCATTCGTTCTAAGGAACTCATTTGGAAAAGCAGACCTGCTGTAACTACAGGAAAATAACCAATTTCTCTTAACTTTGTTGGATCTAAAACATATTGCTATCCTAAACTGAAACTTTAGGCTCATTGAGAACATGGCCAAAGTCTCTTCCTTTAAAATTGATTATACAAAAATATTTTTTTAAATTATGGAATGTATTGCCTCCCCCTCCTCCACTGAATTGGGGTGGCCAAGGAGTTGCATTTTTTTTTCTTTACACTCTCCTATGATATCAGAAACCATATTCCTAAAATAGCATTTTTTTTGTTAATTATCTGTTCTCAAAAAAAAAAGTATGAAACAGTGACTAGAAAGCCAGTCTCAAAACCAAAAAGACCTGGGTTCAAATCCTACCTCTGACACATAATGGCTGTGTGACCCTGAGCACATCACAACCTTTCAGTGTTCTAGGCAATTCTCCAAAACCATAAGTTGCAGAAAAGGTGCCAAGGCCTGCTCTGGTAGGAGTTTCTTCACTTGGTAGTTTCCTGTACCAATGAAATCACAAGTTTGGTCCCTATGTCTACCATCCTCCATCCCACCCATATCCCCCCCCAAAAAAAAAGAAGCAAAAAAGGCAAGCCACCTAAGATTTTACTTTTAATAACAGCTGGCTATGAGAGATTGTGTCTCCGTAATAGCACACAATGTTTTAGAAGTGGGAAAAATTGTTTGATGCCCATTAAGATGCACAAAATATTTTAACCCAAAACAAGATTCTATATGCTCAAGCCATCTTGACCAATTTTCCAACTGTCTAGCCTAGGCTCCATGAATTATTTGATTCATACTCAGAACTGATTGACAGGTATGGCAAATCCCACCAGGGTACCTCTGTGCAGAAAGAACCGATAGCTTTTAAATGCTTCAATTATCCTTGAGGAGCCCGGGCTGCTCCCTCAGATTCTGAAGATGAATTACTCAGAGCCCAGGGAGGTGGGGTCACTAACTGGAACAGTTTCGACATGTCATAGGATCTGCCCGCATCTTTTTTTTTAATTGTCTTTGAAAATGTTTTTATAATAAAAAATAATTGCTTATACTTTTCTAGGGCTTTAGAGTTATGCAATGCTTTACATGTGTTATCACATTTCATACAATAGGATCATATCATGCAATCGAGGTACATATGAAGGTCTGACTGATATCATTGACACTGATTAGAAAAATTCAAACTGATTACAAGACTTCCGTTGCAGTGTTAGCTTCACTGGAATCAGAAAAGGGATAGAACTACAAATTCATTTTGGATCCTTTTTTTAACTTTATTTTTTCCCATTATAAACATGTCTTGTCAATCAAAATGAATTTCTACATTGGTTATATCAAAGAAAAATTTGTCTCCATTCTGTATTCTGAGTCCTTCACCTCTCTATCAGGAAATGCGTAGCTGTCTCTTCGTTAGTCCTCCAGAATCCTGGTTGGACGTTATACTAATAAGTATAAGTATAAATATAGTATAATAGCATTCCATCACATTTATATACCATAACTTGTTTGACTGTTGCCCAATTTATGAGTACTCCTTCAGATTCTCATCATTTGCCACCTCAAAAGGAGCTATAAATATTTTTGTACCACATTAGAGTTTGTTTTGCTTAGGATTCATCCCCCTGTAATCTACCCTTCCTCTACTTCCCCTTCCATTTCTCCCCTTTCCCTCCTATTTTCCCTTATTCAGTCAGGCTTTCCTATGTGCTCAACTGCATGACGCAATATGTTTCATTGGAAAAAACCTAGGCTGTGTCTTCATAACCTCAAACATTTGAGTTTGAGCCTCCTCCCTTCCTCCTCCCTTCCTCCTCCCTCTCCCTGTCTATGTTGCTTCTGCTTGTTAAAGTGGAAAAAAGGCCTGGCCTTATTGGCAGAAAGCCTAACTAGGTTTGAGTACAGTCTTTGCCATTTTCTAGCTGTGTGATCCTGGCTGTCATTTAACTATTAAAAAAGGGATAAGGCAATTTACATTCCTACCTCCACTTCCTGGCTTCTTTGACTTCTTTCAGTAATCAGTTCAAATCTAATCTTCTGTAGAAGGCTTCATCCCACCCCACTCCCATTAGTCCCTTCTTTCTAACATTACCTTCCCTCTATTCGCCCCCCTCCGCCATTTATATCTATATCTATCTATATCATATATATGTTTGTTTGCATATTGATTGCTCCATTAGAATGTAAGCTTCTTGAGGGCAGGGACCATGTTTTCCCCTTTCTTTGTATTTTCAGTGCTTAGCACAATGACTGACACATATTAAGCAATAGAAAAATGTCTTGACTGACTTGATTGTGTATGCATTGACATTTCCCCAGTGGAGAAGCCTGAGGAAAGGAACTATTTTGTTTTTGTCTTTGTAGCATCAATGACTGGTGCAGTGGATGACAACTAGAGGACATTTAATCAATGGTTGTTGATTAATTGATTGATTGATCAATTGATTGACTTAAATGTCCTTAACTTCCTGTCATTCATTTTCATCTGTTTCTTTGCAGGTAGTTAAATCTAAGACTTCCCAAGAATATCATCTTATTAAAATGAAACCATCAAAACAGCATGTTGTGGGAAAATATTTCAGCAATTTGAACAAACAGAAGAGACTGCAAAGCTATGCAACTAATGTACAATCACCATATCATGTCAGAGGCCCAGTCAATCAAGTCTGTTCTGAAATTCTTCTCAGCAGGATATGTACGCATGAAAGGACTGTGTAGCCTTCCTTCTGGAGAAGCAACCTTGCATTTGGAAACTTCCCATTTATCTGGTCTGGGAACCATGTCAAATGCATTACATATGTCTATGGACCTCACATGCATGCTTGCATACAGAGAGTGAGAGAGAGAGAGAAGGGAGAAGGGACACTCTTCCTGAGGATTTATACTGTCAAGATGTGCCTCCTGCACATTGTAGTTTCTAAATGATAAAGATGCAAAAAAAAATTAATTTTTTAAAAAGAAAGGAAAAATTTACTTGAAATATAGCCAAATGCTTAAATAAGCTAAAGGTAGGATATTAGGTTTTGTGAGAGTAAAGATAAATAATAGGCACTTGAAATATGTGAAGAGACCCTAGAGCTCTTGAGCATCATTTTTTCTTACCTATAGGTACATTCATATTGATGGGGGTGAAGGGGGAAGCAATTACATTCCACTTGCAACTAGGTACAGTACTTGTGTTCTTGGGTGGAAGAAAATACAGTATTTAGAATGACACTGGTTTTTATAAACCTAATGCTTCTGAAAGGCATTTCCTTCCATTTGCTTTATTGTTTATTTTACAATTTTAGGGATGGAAGTGGGATAGGAAAGGGATTTTGGAGGATACCAGTACAGGAGACTCCAAAGGGTCTAGAAGGGAGAAATATTGGAGTAAAACTCTTTAAAGCTAACACTTCAATTGACCCAAGTTTCTTTACATAGTCTTTACCCCTATATTTTTAAACATATCCAGTATGCTGTCCTTAAATAGGATGCTTATAGAATAATTTGATAATGAACGTGTCAAGTTAAAGAGAGGAACCAAATTTTTTTTTCCACCTGTATTATTTGATAATATTTGCAAAGTGCTTTGCAAACCATAAAGAGCTATATAAATGCTAGCTACTGTATTATTTCATGTGGTCTCATTTGCTTAAGGGAGGAAGGGGTAGGACCTGTGATTTCATCTATGTGGGGAATCCCTGGTGTGGAAAATCCCTTCACTGATGTACAGCAGTAACTCATCTGTAACAGATAAGTTTTAGATAGTTTCAATTAGTTACCTGGGGCACTGATTTGCCCAGGGTCACATCCTAGTGTATGTGAAAAGTAGGTCTTGAATCTAGCTCTTCCAGACTGAATGGGCTTTAATCCACGATCCAGCTTCTCCAATAAAGATTGGCTTTTCATTAAACTTAACATATACTTTAAGTTAAAATCTTAACATTATATATTTGTTAAAGGATTATGTTTCCTTAAATTCCTAGATATCATTCCCGGGGGTAAAAAAAAAAGCATCCATGGACTTACTAGATCATCACTAATTTGATTATAACTTATCTGATTTTCAAGAGTCATTTGAGTTTTGGGGAAACACATGCATTGGAAGAGAATTTCAGGTAGCATTAAATATTAGTTGCTTTCATTTTCTTAAAATAGTGGAATAAAAATCATATAATTCTTGAAAAAAAATCTTCTTAAGATAGGAACTATGTGCCAATCTAACATTCTTATTTTCCTGTTCTATATTTTAAAGTCCAAATGCTGAATTTTTTTTTGCTTTACACAAGTACTAGTGTTGTGAATTATTATTTCACAGTTGTAATGTGTTTTAAAAGTGTTGTTTTTCTTTAAAAAAAAAAGCTAAATTAATTCAGTTCATAACTGAAACAACCAAAAGTGCAATACCTCGACTTCACCATCATATAGAAAATAGGACTACCTGATATGATTCACTATATGAATAGAGATGGATTCACTGGTATGAATTTCTGCATCCTCTAAAACCTCTATATTTTTATATTATATATATTTTTATATGAAGTTATTCAAGAAATGTGTACATCAATCTATTTAATAAGCTGTTTGGAGTTATATTTCAACACAAAAATAGCAATATATACAAGCAATGCATGTCTGTGTAACAAGTGGATTATAGTCAGTTATTTTTTAAAATATGGTACAGAAGTTAATTTTGCAAAGATATGATCTTTATAGCACATACAAATATATGAGACACCTAAAATGGAACACCACTTTTTTTCAGGTTTTCAGTTATTTTAAAGTACACAATGCTTTATATTTGTGCCAGTGTATTTCTCCTCTCTCCGCCTTAAAGAAGTGAAGATTGATATTTCCCTCTTTGCTATTTGTCAATATTATGTTCAGTGATAGTATAATGTAGTTTGGTGCAGTACAATAGATCAATCATACTTTACTTACTTCGTCTTAATGTTATTCTTTTAAGATTTGTCTAAGTAATAGTTGAGCAGTATTAGTATGAAGCAACCACTTTTTACGGTTGTACTTAGTATGATTTTTATTGGAAGTACATAATTTTAGGAAGAATGGTAATCATGATGTTTAAATAATTACAACTTGAAGTCATAATAGTGTTGCCATCTTTCATCCATGGTCATTTCTGCTTTACATTGACCCAGACCAGCTTCTGAACAGAAAGCAGGGTTAGCCTATTGCAAGATCAAATACTGGGATTGCAAGTAAACATTTTGATTAGTCATTTTACATTAAATAAATTCTTTCCCCACTGAAATAGTTGTATTTTTATTTTCTGGACATCATTTTAGTAGGGAAAAAATTGCTATGTACATATTTATAAGTGAATGAAATTAATAATTTGCATTTTCAGCTAGTTTTTGCTTTAGCCTTACTCTGTGGAATAATTTTCAGTGAATATGATCATAATGTTGTCATTTAATTGACAGGACAGGTTAAGTACATCCTTTGTGATGCTGCCCAAAGAAGAAAGACAGAATAGGTAGTGAAAAGTATTAAAGTCTAAGAATATCTCAGTAGAAATTTTAAGACAAAGCTGTGAGCCTTTCCTCCCCCATCCCCAAAGTTCAGTGAGCTGTTTGGCATCCATCCAATCTGGTCAACAAGCCCCAAAGGACCATGTGAGAAATATGGTATCATTGCCCATTAGACTCATATCTGGTTCATTTAACCTAAGTGTAATTTACAAATCTCTATAGCAGTCTCCACTGCAGGATAGTAATTCCTACCCTCCTTCTCATCTCCAGCCCCTCTCCCTGTTACCACTTCGGTTTTGGAAGGTGCTGGCAAAAGTTGCTGATTTTTGAGACTGTGTAAGTCAGTTTGTGAAGCTTTCCAGAGAAGAATAGATGCTGGTTAATTTCTCTGAATAGTTTTCTACCATTTCTTATTGTATTTCATTTTAGATGAAGAAGAAATGCAAAATGATGCCTAAATATTTTTACATAATCAGATTGACTCTTCAGCTTTAATTTTTACTTCCAAACAGAATTTTTAATAGACCTAATAATCAATCAATAATCCTTCAGTTTTAAGATTCCTCACCCTACCCTGGTCCCAATTTTAATAAGTTAAGGGAAAAGATATCAAACCATAGATTTAAAGCTGGAAGAGACTTTAGAAATCATATAATTCTATCATTTTACAGGTGAGGAAATTGAGGCCCAGATAAACCATGTGACTTGACTTCACACAGGTAGTAAGTGCATAGGACTAGGTTCTGAGAAAATCTTTATCCAAAGACTGCTCAATCCAAACTCGGGTTGACACAATAGCATTTTTTTTAACCTGAATGAATTCTTTTCTGGGTAAAACCCAGAAAAGATTGAAATGTCATCAAAACTAAAGGCAGACCCTCTTAAAGTTAATATTAGAAAATACAGTTATGATAAGTTCAGTAGAAAAGTTTCAGTGTGAAAGCATTAAGAACTGTTCTCCAAGTCATAGATTTCAGCTACACATACAAGAGACATGACCTTTTTTTGCTGCTTTAATCAGATGGATATCAGAAAATGACCAGTTCGTAAATGAACTTTTTTTCCATTTTCAGGTATTTTTTGTGACAGCATTAGTATAGGGTGTCTTCATTTTTGGAGAGCTGTTTCTGAATTTCTTTCAAGTTTCTTTGTAATCTATAAACTATTCAAGATAAACCTACTGGAGCTTTTTTTTTAAAAAAGCATTTGAAGTTCAAAAACTTATTTTAATCATTTGGAAGAAACTAAGGCAATTTGAAAGAAACACATTTTAAAGAGGATGAACCAGAAATTATTAGAAAGCCCATAGGACATTAAAGACAACGGGCTATTACCAGTGTTTCAGAATTAGATATGTATTTGGCACAGCTTCCAAGTTTCCATACTGTCAAAGAACGTTTTATCATTTTTATTGCTACAGTGACTATTATTGTCAACTTCCATATTTCTTTTATGATTCATTTGGTATAAGGAGCTTGTAGATTTCATTCTTGTCTAACTGATGGTGACCATACATTCCTCCTAGATGTGGTGGTCCATTTGTTTTCTTCATATTCACAAAAACATTTTTATGGCTCTATTAAATGTCAAACTAACATATGTATTACCAATCTCAATGCATAGGTTAAATGGTGCTCTTGAAAATCTATTAAGAACATCTGCATGTAGCCCCATCACTTGTCTATATATAAATAATTATTTAAAGTCAACAAGTCAGGGAGGGGGTGAAGAACAGCAAACATCTTCATCACATAAAATATTGGAAGGCTACCTACATGCAAATCATATGTGAGGAGTTAACAGTTCTGATTTTGATTTAAATTAATTGAGATTTTCTTCATCTTTAAGTTTACACATATCTCAAGTCCGTGTAAAGCTTTACAAGAAACAGTTTCTATTTCATCATATAGAATCATCCTATTTGGCAATCCTTGGTGGACAATATCTGGATGTATTGTTGCATTGATACCTAAACTGTGCTCCAAGGAAGTCTAGTTTTCCTTATAACACACTTGTGGATTCTTCAAGAAAAGTTTGACACCAGTGAAATTTTTCATGCTTAAATAGTAAATATGATTGTGAATAAAAAAAATACCCACTATTGATGCTAAATTTTTTAGTATAAAAATAGACTTAATTTGTTTTATTTTGTTCCTAAATTTTCCTAAAGTCCTTTAATTTGGGGGTGGGTATCCTCCATGTTTAGAGTAGTATTTTGAGGTCTCACTAAGGTGATTCAAGTCCGAAGATGTTCCAAAATAGTTTGTGAGACATGGCATTCTTAAATTTTAGAGGAGATCATGAGTAAACGTTGAATTTCACCAACCAAGGCTTTTTTTGGGGGATCATATTCAGTATCCAATTTTTATTTTATGTAAAAATGTTTAATGTCTGTCTTTCCTATAAAATAAGGACATTTTTATAACCTGCATTAATTATGATCTTTTTGGTATGCCAAAAGTTAAGTGTTACATGGTTTTGTTAAAAAAAAATGAATTAAATTGATTATCAAATATTTTGAGTCACTTCTTATCTTATGGTTGATTATCAGAATGAATCCATTTAGTTCAGCTTTTCCAGTTATACTAAACTATGTCATTTTGCAACACATTTGCTGACATATATTTCTTCTTTTTAATTATAAAACTAAAACTCTGCAGGTTGCCATCTCCATATGCAACACAAAGGTTAGCACTTTTATTTTTCCTCCCTATTTTTATGTATTCTATAATTTGCAAAATTAAATCATAAAAATAATATTATACATCTCCTAATATAGAAGAATAATGAAAAGAAATTGGCATATATACAATATGTCAATTAAATAGACCTTATGGCCATTCATTGGAGGAAAAAAATATTTTAATGGGTTATATCCATAAGTCTTGTTAAATCTTTCTCTTAAACCTATCTTATGGCACTGAACTTTTATTATGGCGGGAATACTAATATAAGAAAGTCTCAGATGCAGATGTGGGAATTCTGTAGAATTTAAAAGATTTTTTAAATCTACATAAAACTCTTTAAAGGGGCAGCTAAGTGGCATAGTGGGTAGAGCATTGGGCTTGGAATCAGGAAAACTCATCATGAGTTCAATTCTGGCCTCAGACACTTACTAGATGTGTGACCCTGGGCAAGTCACTTAATCCTGTTTGCCTCAGTTCCTCATCTGTAACATGAAACAGAGAAGAAAATGGCAAACCTCTCTAATAGGGGTCACAAAAAGTCAGACACAACTGAAATGACTCAACAACAACAACAAATTCTTTAAAGAATAAGTCCCTAGCTATAAAACCTGTGCATACCCTTTGACCCAGCAAATAGCACTTTTAGATCTGTCTCCCAAAGAGATCATACAAAAACATTTATAGCAGCTCTTTTTGTGGCAGCTAAAATTAGAAATTGAGGGGATGCCTGTCAGTTGGGGAATGGCTGAATACGTTGTGGTATGTGAATGTAATGGAATACTACTGTGCTATAAGAAATGATAAGCTGGTAGACATCAGAAAAACCTGGAAAGACTTATATGATCTAATGCTGAGCGAAGTGAGCAGAACTAGGAGAACATTGTATATGGTAACAGCCACATTGTATGATGACTAACATTGATAGACTTACCTCTTCCTAGCAATGCAAGATGGGGTGAAAATTTGGAATTCAAAATCTTGTGGAAGTAAATGTTGAAAACTAAAAATAAATAAATTTATTAATTAAAAAAAAGAATAAGACCCTAGGTTTGTGAAGGAAATAATATCCAATTCCCTTACACATGACATCTTTTGGTTCTTGGTAGATCTCACTATTGTTATAGTTGAAGGTCTGGAGTGTGAAACCCATCTTGACACTGCCCCTTAGTGAGTTATATATCCGTAGGAATAGTACAAGATGCAAGTCCTGAATCCTTTAGGTACAGGCAAGTCTGCTAACATACTGGCAATGGATATGAATTTTAAAATGAAGGGGGGGGGCCCTGAATAGAAGTATTATGTTCAGTTCAATTCAACAAGCATTTATTAAGCACATACTATGATTCCAGGCACTGACCTAGACCCTGGAGATATGAAGCCAAAAGGTAACAAGTCCCTCAAATTCTCCTCATTCTATATATACTTGGTGCTTATTCTAGGGATTCCTCTGTCCTGAGTTCTAGCATTCATGTAATTGTAGTCTCTCTTTTCTAGCCCTGTAAGCCTCCCTTGACAATTTACAAACATATTTTCTTAAGTCCCATTCTAAATATCAGTATTGACTAGCTATTTTGGACATTCCCATTTCCCACAATAAGAGGAAATAATTATCTTAAAATTCATTGGATATAAAATTAGAATCCAGATAAACCAAGTAACAGTTAACTTTGATTGTAATGATAGCTTGAGATAGGCAGAGAAAGAGATCATCTAACTGGGTTTTTTTTCATAATGGTAGCATAAGCTCTGAGGAGCTTGATATTGAAACTTTTTTTTTCCTCTACCCTTGGTTTTTTTTTCCCTACATTTCACCCACTTGTGCCCTCAGCAGCTCTCTAAGAATAGTTGCCATCTGATTGATAGAGGGAGTTTCTTGCCTCTATCAATCAACAAACATTTATTAAGTGTCTACTAGGTGCCAGGCATCCAGTGGTGGGGAATCTGCCGGGACTCTCCAATAAAAATACAAATACCAAAGTGAGATATTTGGATTCAGTCAAAGAGCCACAGTTGAGGACCTAAAAGGCCACATGTTCTCTCAAGGCCACGGGTTCCCTATCCTTGCTGGAACTCTCCAATAAAAATACAATTACAAAAGTGAGGTAAACCTTGTTCTCAGGTACTTCACATTCTGCTAAAGGAAAGACTACACGTTCACAGAGATACTGGAGATTATGTAGGTATGTGTACATATGAATTGTGTGTGTGTATGTATGTATATGTATATAAATATATAAAATATGAAAAATACATAGTAGTGGGGGAGGGGAGACCACTACCAAGTAGGGGAATCAGTGAAGGATTCTATCAGAAGATGATACTTGAGATGAGGCTTAAAAGGACTAAAGTATTCCAAAAGGCAGTAAGGAAGAAGAGTACAGTTATCCCTTCTACATAGGGACTTTCCCCATCTCAATTTCAATATTTTGTGGTTCAACATAAGAAATTTAATGTGAATTTTTAGGGAGTTTTGTGGAAGCCCCAGATGATACATGAAGGCTAGCAGATGACCCAGCAAAATTTTAGAAACTCAGGAATGCATAAAATATATGTATAGTATTGTATACTGTCAACCTAAATTTTACAATAATGTGCTATAAACATACCATAAAAGAAAAAAAAAATTCAGACCTTTTCTCTCGTACAAAGGGAGGGCCAAAAATTTTATGTGGATTTTCCAGATCATGGGGGCACCAGGCCCCTGACCCCAGCAATGTGGAAGGGATACTGCTTTGTATAAAGACAACAGCTTGAACGAAATCACAGCAAGGACAGAATGAACGTTTTGTACAAGGAATAGCAAATTAACTACTTTGGCTAGAGCAAGAGCTTTTATCCTGGAAGTCCATAACTTTGTTTGTTTGTTAAATATTTTGCTAACTGTACTTCAATATAGTTGGTTTCCTCTATAATACTATGTATTTTACATTGGTTTCCTTTGTAATCCTTTTATTTTATGCCTATGAGAAGGCGCTTCGCCAAACTCTCAAAGTGTTCCATGACATAAAAAAAGGTTAAGAACCCTTGGACTAGGACCTGGGGCAGTGAAAATAACATGTAATCAGCCTATGATTCAACCACATAGTGAAGTTAAATCTCAAATAAAGGAATTTGTACTTTAACCTAAAGGAAGTGGAGAGCCGGTAAAACTTCATGAACACTAGAATAACATAGAGCTATGTGTTAGGAATATTAATTTGGCAGCTGGATGAAGGATGAATTTGTGAACAGAGAGATTGGAGAGAGACCAATGTGAAAGCTATTTTGGTGGTCTACAGAAGAGGTAATAAGGGACTGAACTTGGAGGGGAGGTCGTGTGGAGTGAAAGGGATAGATGGGAAAGATGTCCCCTATCCAGTCAAATGATATTCAGAACTTTCCCCTTCAACTTTATCTAGTAGAATATGTTAATATATAATTTGCTTAATTAATGCACTTTTTCATTCTTGGTCCAGCAGGAATTTTCCTACATGATGGAGGGGAAAAAAACAGCAACCAATTGAGAGGTGAAAAATTCATTTAACCACATGTATGTTTGTTCTGTAAAGTGCCAGACATCACAGGTCTGAACACATGTGTAAACTAGAAGGTCTTTTGCGCTGTTTAGCTGCAATGATAATTTTAAATTTTCCTTATTATCTGTAGCTACTAAACTTACTGGAGGACATGTGTGTGTGTGTGTGAGAGTGTGTATGTGTATGTTAAATCTGATATATAGTACCAGACACATTAATTAAAAATACATTTCTACTTCCTCAGTTGCTCTACTTGAATGTAACATGAAGCCCATGTTTTAACGGGCACAGTAACCATGTCTCTAGCTTTATGACATCATAAAAATATTTTATGAGTCCATTTTTTATTTGGATATATATCATTGGTGGTGCCTGAAATTATATAAAGTTTGCCTCTGCATAACTATTCACAAGATAAAAATTTGACTTAATCAAGACCATTAAGGTTGGGGGGGGGAATAAAACAAAATCCTTATAGCTAAATTAGATTTAGTCATAAAAAGATTCAGAGTCACATCTCATCATTTTCTACCACAGTTACATACCCAATGGGGAAAAGTCAATCTCTGTTCACATTTGTCCCTAATGTGCACCCCTTTCAGTATTCACATTAATGATGAAAAGGCAGTGGGGTGTTGCTAAGATGCCATGGCCTACACCCTTAACACAAGATATTTCTGCCAAGAACTGGCTTTATTTGCATAGTTTAGAGTTAGTTCCAGAACCATGTTATTGGTAAACAACCTGGAGAAGAAGGAGGAGGAGGAAGAGGAGGAGGAGGAGGAGAAGGAGAAGAAGAAGGAGAAGGAGAAGGAGAAGGAGAAGGAGAAGGAGGAGAAGGAGAAGGAGAAGGAGAAGGAGAAGGAGAAGGAGAAGGAGAAGGAGAAGGAGAAGGAGAAGGAGAAGGAGAAGGAGAAGGAGAAGGAGAAGGAGAAGGAGAAGGAGAAGGAGAAGGAGAAGGAGGAGAAGAAGAAGGAGAAGGGGAGGAGGAAGGGAGGAAGGGAGGAAGCAAGGAAGGAAGAAAGAAAGATTTGCCACTTATTATCTTATTTATAGCATCTTGGATGGCTGGCAAGACCAATCCAATGCTAATAAATAGTCTTGTTTCTCAGGCTCATATTTCCAGAGGAATCGTAGTATCAGAGAGCTCAGTTAGAGAGTATATTGCATCTGCTAAATCATAAGTCTGTCTTCTGAGAACCACTATAGCCTTTTTAAGATTCTATATTCCTCAGAGTATGTAACCTCTTCCAAATGAGGTTGTCCTGGGAGCCAAAGGGATGAGTCCAATGTAGATCAATAAGGTGGTATCA